GCATGAAAGACTACATAAGCCAATCTTTAGATGCGACGGCATCCATTATGCACTCGCATGCAAGCATTCATTATATAAAAGAGCTTAATCATATAGATGGCAAAACTCAAAATATGATTGACTAATCATGATGAGAGCATTTTTTCTTAATTCACGGCAAAATTACTTGTACTTGCATGATTGGCTAAGACGCAGGCGCGAGAAGTTTCTTGTTTTAAATAGCAATAAAAACATTGGCTCCTCGTTGTGTCTCCAAAGTTTCACAAATTACCCTCGTCGCTTCGCAACTTTGTGAAACTTTGAAAGCTCGACTGTAAACTGAAACGAAATTGCCACACAAAAGCCCCCAAAAACGTTCAATACACCTATACATTTTAAATTCAGACTTTTCACTTTCAGTCTAGCCCGCGTGCGGGCCCACCAAGGGTTGAATAGTGGGCATGCAAAGAAGACCGGATTTTTGTATTTGTCGCGTTCGCACACAAATGCAGCGCTCTGATTGGCTGTTTGCTGTTGGATTCCGTAATTAGATCAGTGATTCATCACAAAGGCCTCGAGAAGTTTAAAATTGGATCACAGGCGGGCCAATCTCTGAATGTTCTATATATTTTGAATATTTATACGAAATATTTAACCGTTATAATATTTAATAACGAAATAATTAAAAAAATATTAGCAGCATACCTTATGTAAAAATAAATATAACTTGTTAATAGGATGCATTTGTTGTGTTTCTGAGTTTAGTTGATGAGGTTGCTTTACGTTCTCGTCGTACTTGAATTAACGGTCATCAGTACTGGCACTGAACGACATAGGATATGAATAACTACAAGGCTAGCCACTTGTGTGATATACTCTCCGACATCGAGTCCAATATCTCTCCCCAGAATCGTTGCAGAGCAATAAATTTCACATCGCATAATAGTATGAACGTTCAAAAGAACATGGTTTATTCACCATTTGGGCAATTCTCGTGACACACAACGAATACATTTTGTTTATACAAAATTCAAAATTCCAGAGGCGTTAGCCCCATGATCGTTGCCACGAGAGCGGCTAAGCAACCTGGCCTCCTCGTCCGAAAATACTCCATCAGGGAGGTGCTGGATTGGAATGAGGGGCTTTCAAAGCAACACGAAAAAAAAAAAACACGACTAAATAGAAATGATTACTTTACCATGCTGCATTCGACAAAAAAAGTTTTGAATCGTCCCATTTTTAGAAGCGTGACAAAATTAATCTTGTTAAAAAATCTTGTTATGAAGTTTTCCTTACATATTTTTTAGAACAAAAACGTTACTGTGTTTACTTACTATAAGATTTAGCTTTTGACAATCATACCAATCTTTTTAAGGTATTGAACTTGACTGCGTTCAACCGAAAAGAGGAACGTTTATACTATTAGGGGATGTGAAATTTATAGCTCTGCAACGATTCTGAGGAAAGATATTGGACTCGATGTCGGAGAGTATATCAGATAAGTGCATGCTAGCCTTGTAGTTATTAATATCCTATGTAGTTCAGTGCCAGTACTGACGACCGTTCAAATACGACGAAAACGTAACTAAACTCAGGAACACAACAAATGCATCATATTAACAAGTTAGATATATTTTTTACATATCCTACCAATATTTTTTTGAATTATTTCGTTATTAGATATTTTAACGGTTAAATATTCCGTACGTCCATGACGGTTAAATATTCCATGCTATCCGAATACCAGTCGGGGTTTCGTTCTTTGCTTTGCATTCAACGGTTACGGCCTTATTTGAGGCCACTGATAGTTGGGTTTACAATATTGACGGCGGCAATATTAATGCCGTAGTATTTCTAGACATGAAAAAGCCTTTCGATACGGTCAACCATGAGATCTTGTTGTCTAAACTCAGAAACTATGGAGTTCACGAAATTGCCTACAAATGGTTCAAGTCATATTTGGAAGACCGCAGGCAGAAATGTTTTGTTAACGGTTCACAGGGTCTTAAGTGCGGAATTCCTCAAGGAAAGATCCTAGGACCACTCCTGTATCTGGTATTTATTAATGATTTACCAAATTGTTTCTCAAATTCTCATCTCAGAATGCATGCAGATGATACTAATCTTACGTATTCTGGAGGGATTTATACACTATTCATTTCATCTTAACGAAGACTTGGAAAACATTAATGAATGGTTAATATCAAATAAACTTACTTTAAATATGACTAAAACTGAGTACATGTTAATTGGGTCGAGACAACGTTTAAGTACTCTTTCTGACAATCCTTATTTTGAAATAAATGGAATTCATTTAGACCGAGTTTCGACAACAAAATCACTTGGTGTTTTATTATAGATAAAAATCTTACTTTGAGTAGTCATATCAATAAAATGACAATACGAATTGCTTCTGGTATTGGTGCTATTAAGCGGTTAGGGTAATTTGTTTCATTGGAAACATTGATGTTATTTACCAAGCTCTAATACAACCACATTTTGATTATTGTAATGTCGTGTGGGGAAATTGTTGTAAAACTTTATCTAACAAACTTCAAAAACTTCAAAACCGTGCAATGCGGGTGTTGACCTTTTCCAACTTTGAGGCCGATGCTAATAGCTTATTGGAAAAGCTAAAGTGGAATGATCTAAACCAACAACGCAAATTTCAAAAAGCGTTGATGGTTTTCAAGAACTTATTAATGTAGATAACTATTTTTTGTAAACCTGATGAAGCTACCGTGCTTAAATAAAGATTTGACTGCATGACTGACTATACGTATAAATAGTGAAATTAATATATAGAACATTCAGAGATTGGGCCGCCTGTGATTGGATTTGATCACTTTTTCGATTAAAAATGGAACAAGAACAAAGTAACTGTTTATTATTTATTTGGAGGAAAAGATCTTTATGCCGTTATGCCATGAAGTGAAGTGTTGGAATAGCAACATTACCACTGGGGTAAACTATAGTAGCCTTTATTTTATTTTCATTAATTTCAAACAGATTTGATACGTTTATATGTTCCCCAAGAAAATTATCTTTTGGTTGATGTTGACTCTCAACTGTTCTTGCACTGAAGAAAACATCGCTTTTGAAGATTTAGAGGCAGTTGTATGTAAGCCTATTCGAAACACTTTGCGATCCCTGAGAGGGCAAAACAAAAAACGGTAATTGCCGTTTCAAACGAGTTGGATTCTGAATGCGCTCTTCTTTTGTCGAGTTCTTTACCAAATTAAATAATTAAAATAAATTTCGTACTTTCCGCCCACAAGAATTGCACACACGATCTGATACGTGAGACAATTTATTTATAACAATGGCGATAGAAGTGTACATGCATTAATAAATGTTAATGTGGTGGCATGACTTCCCTCATGATTTAAAGTTTGAGACAGGTTTTCTGTTGAAATTCGTCCTAACTTGCCTATTCCGAATTTAGTTGAAAATGAGCACTTGCAAATTTGGCAATTATTTGAAGCTTACTGGTTTGTTTGCTTTTTCGGAGTTAAAGGCAGCTATTTACACATTGTTTCTATTCTGAATAGGCAGATAAAACCACGCAACATTTTAATGAATTTCAGTATGTACTATTTGGGTTGCTGTCATTGGTTCTTTTTTGACAATTGACGCGCAAATGCATCGGGCGTGTTATGAAAAGGGGCGTTTTACAAAACACCCGGTCTTCTTGCACGCCTCACTATTTTCTCCCTCGGTGAGCCTGCACGCGGACTACTTTCAGTTTTGACAAGCCTTCTCTATCCTTCCTCTATGATTTTCGGCAAGCATGTTTGGTACCCAAAAAAGGTGTAGCAATTTAGCAATCCTAAATTGACATACAGGTAAGTAAACACGGGGATGTGCAGCACTTAAACCGCATAAAGCAGCTTACCTATTATTTTCCCCATATAAATTTCAGCGGCGATAAAGCCAAATCATATACTATAGTGTTATACTATTCAGACTATTTCATATAAATGTACATCTTGTGTTGGCTAGGGTTAGTTTCATGCACTGTTAAGTGTCAGCCAAAGACAAATTCAAGGGCAAAATATTTGCCCATTCGGTTAATGCCTGTTTATAACTTTGTAGGCCAATGGACCTTTAACCTTATAACTAAAATTTTGATCTAAACAAGTCTAGACAAAAATTTCATCACAGCTTGAAAGAGCATCACAAAATTAGTAATATTCCAAAGTTTCGTTACGAAATGTTGTAAAATGCGTATAATATAGCCTTGCGAAGTTTGCCGTTTTTCAGTAATTTTGTATTACAAACGGGAAATTGATACCCCAATCGGGTGTTGGGATATCAATTTCCCGTTTGTAATACAAAATTACTGAAAATTGCAAATTTAGCAGGGCTGTATTATCCGCATTTTACAACATTTCACAACGAAACTTCGGAATATCACTAATTTTGTGTTGCTCTTTCAAGCTGTGATGAAATTTTTGTCTAGATCAAAATTTTAGTTATAAGGTTAAAGGTCCATTAATTCACAACTTTTGAAATTTCACATGCATGCTTGTAGTACATTTGTTCAAATTTTTGTTTAATTAGCCAACGAAAGCATAAAATACAACAAAGCGTTACAACCATTAGACTATTTTATTGACGTACTTTAACAATGTACTGTTTTTGACCATATACAAAATTCTCAGATAATTCAATATAGGCAGCCCAACACCTATTCGTACTAAATAATTGAATATTATATTCAAACTTTTAATAAAACTTTTTAATATGGCGAAAATGTTTGGATAACAATGCATTTCTGCAGTTGTGGTTGCGCGTTGCGGGCGATGTCACTCACTGCATACTATTACGTTGTATTCCCTAAAGTTGGCAAATAAATCAAACTAAGAGAAAGTACATTTATTATGCCGAGGGGGGGGGGGGATAAAGATGTTAAGGGGGGCACCAAAACATTTTCTGGTATTAAAGAGGGCTCTGAAAGTTCTGACATACTGAAGGGGGGGGGGGGGGGGGGGGGGCTCTAAACTTTTCAAAGTTTTGATCCGGCGGAAAGTGTTTATTTATTTATTTTGCCACAATAGAGATATATTTATGTCCAGCACGACGCTGGACCCTTTCGACACGTCTGATAAGGTCAATTGATTGTGGGGACCAAACCTGAGTAGCATACCCGTGATGTGGACGAACAATGGCAAGGTATAGAGTACGGCGAACGTTAACGACATTAATGTTACTAACAGAGCGGCGAACACAGCCAAGAGATTTGTTGGCTGCTGAATTTTGTGTAACTACCTGGGACTTCCATGACAAAGTGTTGGATACCCGTACTCCAAGGTCACGTTCGTCGTCGAGTCTTCCAATGGGCTTACCACTTACAGCATACACATGGATTAAAGCAGATCTTTTCCGAGTAACTGTCTGACAATTTGTTCTAAGTTCGTTGAAGTTTATTAACCCGGATGATTTTGACCATGTGCTAAGACTATTTAAATCGTTTTGCAGTAAATTCGCGTCCGTTTGGTTGTTAAAGTGCCTATGCGACAATGTTTTTTATGATTGAATTTGAAAGTTCGTTTAAAATCATAATATAACTTGTTTTTCGTTATAATCTTTCCTGTATGTCAAGATTTTCGACTTTGTTTGATATACAAATGTGACTTAAATGACGTCACACTGCATAATGAGTTTTTAGAAAGAAAACGTTTCCTTGCCAGACATGTGATAATTCCACTGACATTGAAAGTTATATACTTTAAGAGCTATCAAAGCGATCATTTCCTCTGTTAATTTGAGATAATGAGAATTTTAACAACCTACAACATAGTCGTCTGTAAAACGCAACATGCAGTGTGATGTCATTTAAGTCACATTTGTGTATCAAACAAAGTCGAAAGTCTTGGCATACAGGAAAGATTACTAAGTTTTAGAAAACAAGTTATATTATGATTTTAAATGAACTTTCCAATTCATTCATAAAAAAATTGTCGCATAGGCACTTTAATAGTTTAAAATAGTTTAGTATCATCAACAAAACAGGAAACGGAAGAAGCGATGACATGCAGTATCATGTATATCATTAACGTAGAGAAGGAATAGTACAGGTCGAAGAATAGAACCTTGAGGTACACCTGAAGTAACTGCGAGGAAAGACGAAGTACCGCCAGGAACAGTAACACGTTGTTTCCGTCCGGATAGATAAGAAGAGACCCAAGAATGGAGGTTTCCCCTAATATTAATATCTTGTAGTTTGTCCAAAAGTACATCATATCGAACTCTGCCAAATGCTTTGCTCATGTCCAAGTAAATTATATCTGTCTGTTTTCCGTTGTCGAGTTGTTGGCCAATGCACTCCAAGACCTGTACTAACTGCGTGTGCATGATCGACCTGGAATGAAACCATGCTGGTTATCACTAACATTTTGAAGCAAATGGTCTCTTGTTTTGACTAGTACGCAACGTTCGAGAACTTTTGATATATTTGACAAAAGAGAAATAGGTCGATATTGAGACATGATCACGCTTCCCCTTTTTGAACACTGGTACGATGTTGCTGATCTTCCAGTCATCAGGAAGGGAACCAGATCGTAAAGAGAGATTGAACAATAGGCACAGGGATGGGGATATTTGTTCGGCAGTTTCTTTCAATATCTTATTAGAAAAACCATCAGGACCGGTAGCTTTATGTTCATTTAAAGAATGTAGTAAAGGGAGAATATCATCTACGGTAAGTTCAATATCTGTTAGGCAGTTTTCATCAGTGATTGTGGTTTCGTTTGCTGGATGTGTTTTGTGGTCTTGGTGAAATACAGAAGCAAGTGTTCACTCCCACCATAGTTAATAGAATAGATGCTTTGGAAACTCATTAGGATAACAATATAACTCATTACCTATGTTAGTGAACAATAACATTCATAAATCTGGTCTTTTGCCGTAACATGCGTATTGTATTTTTGCTCGACTAACCAAAAGCAATATTTTAGGAAAGTTACTAGTTCCATGACTCAAACAATAGGGTATACTGAAAATTGCTATTCGTGGACATTGCAAAATAGTACATATGTGACGGTGAAAGAATATATTTATGAATAAACGTTGACTATAACATAGATAATCAGTTATATTGCTATTCTAATGATCGATTTGCAAACTATCTATTCTATATTAACTGAGATGGGGGAGCTCCACATGGAATACATAAAAGAAGGATGCAGCACGCCTGTCAAAAATGCCTGCAAAAGCACCAATATGCTTCAACTTCTGAAATTTTCATTCTGTTTCGACCAAATTTTCCATGAATATAGAACATATCGTTCTTACAAATCTTTTTTTTTGTTTTTGGAATTGCTACTTTTTGGCGGGTAAATTACGTCACAAATATGGCGTCAAAAATTAAAAATAAGCTATTGGTGATTTTACTGAACCATTTAGTAGAGCAGACCAAGGGTACTTTAATTAATTAAAACTGAAGTCTGTTTGTAAATACAAACATTTTATGGGAAGATATACCGCCATATTGTTACCAAATTAGAACAAAACGGCGGATTTCTAGAAATTTAAGTCATTACGGCAAGGAATGACTGTCAGGGACGTAGCGACTGGGGGTTATGGGAGGAGGGTGTAAAACTCCCCTACTGTGAAATTCAGGCAAAAATTATGTAAAATTCAAGTTAAAATTTTGACATTTTCAGGTAAAATTTGCTTAATTAATAAAGTAATTATTTTTGTGAAATAATAACCATTTTTGTAAAATACAGTAAATTTACATGCAATTTGTTTGCGACTTTGCTTTAGAAAACGCCAGAAATTCAGTCCTAGAGCTTCAAAAATGTAAATATTTTCTGGGTGAGCACCCCAAGACCCCCCTTTTCTCCCAAAACTTAGTATGAGAGGGCCAATCAATCACAAAAAGCTTTGTTATAATTATTATACGTATAATCCTCAGTGTCAATCAATCACAAAAATCTTTATTATAATTATTACACGTATAATCCTCAGACATCCCCTCTCCCAACTTAAGATGTTTCTCTACGTCCCTAATGGTTGTATTCGAAACCGATTTCAGTTTTAAGATATCCTTAGTCTGCTCTTCTAAATGGATACATGAAATCACCTATAGCTTATTTTTAATTTTTTGGCGCCAGGTTTGTGAAGTTATTTACCCGCCAAAAAGTAGCAGTTCCAAACACAAAAAAGCATACGACTTGTAAGAATTATATGTTCTATGTTCATGGGATATTTAGTACAAACGGGATGAAAATTAAAGAAATTGGAGCATACTGGCGCTTTTGCATGCATTTTTGACAGGCATGCAAAGATCTTCATTTGCATCAGATGCCAGGAGATACGCTGGGTGGGTGCGACATTCTCTAAGGTTCCAGCACATTACCCTGAGTCCAGAATATCCCGGCCGCTACATGAACGTGTTCAAGACTCCGACTACGCTGAATGACGAACAACAACAACCTGTTGATAATTTCGCCCATAGGGCCAATCTAAAATGTATTTTTAAAGACGGTGCCATTTCATCTGGCGCTAGTGAGGTAAAAGAAGCCGCAGGTCGGTATTTTTGTTGAGGAGAAACACATCCTCGAGTATATCAGACATCTCGAGAAACTACAAATTGAGAATTCCGGATTGTACTCCTGCGATTCCGAATTCTGGGGGGAGGGGCATTGAAAATTTTAAAAACTTGGAGGGGGGGATCGAAAATTTACCAATAACCTCAACGGGGCGCTGTAAAAATGAGCTTTTTTCAAGACATCTTCATCCCCCCCCCCCTCCCTCTGCGTAATAAATGTACTTTCTCTAAAATGGCTATAACTTAAAACTATATAATTTAAAATTTCTGTAAAATAATAAAATAACAACAAAACTTGAATCTACGATAGTTTTACTGCATTTTTTTGCGAAATAAATAATGAATTCCTAAACGTCAGGACAACACGCCAGGGCGGGGGGGGGAGGGTACTAGCAAATTGCTAGCGGTAAAAATTGCTGTTTGAACAAAATTTTCCTGTCTTTCGCCTTTCCATATCTTTTATCCTGTCCCTGGGGAAATAATTAAAATATACTTGTTTGTTTCCAAAGCAACGTCCGAGCAAGACGTCGACGCAAAATGAAATAAGAGATATAGTCGTGTATACTTACTATGAGTGCAGGTTAATTTCCAGATATTCATTTCTGTTTCTCTCTATTTACTGTAACTATATTAAACACTTTTAAATAAAAGACAAAATATGTGACCTTTTCATTTTAAAAACAATTTTTTGAAAATTTAAAAAACCCGTAATTAATTTATGTACATACAGAACATCCCCCCCCCCTAGCAATTTGCTAGTCCCCCCTGGCATGTTGTTCTGATGTGATATGAAAATGCTATTTTCAGCGGGTTCCAGTCATCCAGCATAGCGCCATCAAAACTTTGAACAAATTAATAGAGTGTTTGCATTCATTGGCCAGGGACCAACTCAACAAAAACCATGGCGGCCATGTTGGTGTTCCAAACAAAAGAGTCCAATTAAAATTATTTTGAATTGGAACACCAACATGGCGGCTGTGACGTCATGTGCAAACGCTCTATCGCCGAAAACTTTTTGTTCTTTTTTCGTTTTAGAAATTCATTTATTTCGCAAAAAAGTTGTTAGAAAGTAGTAAAACTATCGTAGATTCAAGTTTTGTTATTATTTTAGCAAAGTTGTCAAATTATTTCTCGAGTATTTCTCGATATTTTTAAGGTATAGCGATTTTTAGTTAGATTTATTTGCTAACCTTAGGGAATAATACAACATAATAGTACGCAGTGAGTGACATCGGCCGTAGCACGCAACCATGACTGAATGCATTGTTATCTAAACATTTTCGCCATATTAAAAAGTTTTATTAAACGTTTGAATATTTTAGTCAAATATTTAACACGCCAGGCTATTGGACTGCCTATCTATGATTATTCTACATGTATAAAGTATACAATGTTTTCCATAGCTAGTAATTCATACCTTTGTAAATTATCTGTTTATCTGAAGATTTGAACTGGGTATAAACAAGCATTATATATCCATTTGTCAAATGTGTCCGTCAAACACCTCAAATCCATAATAAATTGACAGTATATTAAACATAAACAACTGTAGTCTATAATGTATTTAAAAATGTCAATACTGCATGTGTAGCGATATAAAGAGCTCATTCAATTTCTTCTGCGAATTACAGCTGAATTTGTATCAAACTCATAACCTTTCATGAGGCAATCTCTTGTATCTTTTAATTTTTTAATTGTTTTTAGTTGGAATTTCTTTTACCCTTCTCTAACATAGGTGCAATTTGTCTGCGCATGCGCGAGATTTACGCGGAAAACAAGATGGCGGTAGTAAAATAGACAAGATTAATTAGTCCTTTTAAAGTGTTTCCAAGTAAAAATAGTCAAACAAATAATTTTTTTGGATATCATTGCACATCGTGCTTTAATTTTTTTCATAAATCGCAAAATATTAAATTACTAGAATCTCATTTTACTTTAATTAATATATATATTATGCTTGTGATGTTACTCTGAGTGTATATCCACACCGGGCAAGCTTGAAAAATATGCCTGACCACGGTGGGAATCGAACCTACGACCTTTGGAATACTAGCCCAATGCTCTGCCAATCAACATTACACCAGCACAGAAAAATCATGATTATTATTAGATAACATTGATTCGAAGGAACTAGATTCTATTCCGAACTATCACATACTCGAACCGACCAGACCGCGTAGCTCAGTTGGCAGAGCATTGTGCTAGTATTCCAAAGGTCGTAGGTTCGATTCCCACCGTGGTCAGGCATATTTTTCAAGCTTGCCCGGTGTGGATATACTCTCAGAGTAACATCACAAGCATCATATTCACCTGAGTACATTACACCAGCACAGAAAAATCATAATATATATATTGTATAGAAATCAAGGCTTGTTTGATTTGAGCAGTTTTCCCAATTTTTAAAACGACGAAAACGCCACAAAAATATTAAATACATAATAATATTACTTATTTATAATTTTGGCGAGGTTTGTATGAGCAGTTTTTTAACAGCATAGAGTACAATTTTAATTTCTACTCTATGCTATCTTCTCAATAAGCGTCTCTATTTTTGTATTGATAGCCGATGTCTCCTGTCCCACCCAATTCTAGTGCCATACTTCTACGTGGCAGCTAAATCTTCGTGTCACTAAGTCAGAGTTTTTGCTGCAGCGGGTCTCGGGGGTAGCGGAAGTAAAAACCCCGAGTATCACGTTGTTGGAGGCCTTGAGGTAAATTAATAGAAATTGAAAATATACCTGTGTGTATTGTTGATCTTTTGGGAAACTGCTACCAAAAATGACAACAGGATCGTGATTGTGAAACTGGCCCTGCAATAATCTCAGCGCTGCATAATTTTCAGTCAAAACAAGTAAATAGCGACTTTCTCTATAAATATAAATATAAATATAAAAGTTTATTTTATCAAATTAGAAAACATATTTTCACAAAATATTTAGTTACGCGACCAACGTTTCGAATTTGAAATTCTTGCGCAAGATGTAAACAAGCTATAAATTCCACTAAAAGCCTGATTCAATCGCTACTTTTGTATAAAATAACGGAATCAAGCAGAATTTTTGCGTTTATAAAAGTTTCTAAAAACATCAGTATTCCACATCACATCTGGAAAAATACTTCATTCAACTGAGCAGCAAACATAAAATTCCATATTCCTCAAACAAAAGTGAAGGAATTTCCCACTCCAAAATTCCACCTTATCCCCCGACGGCATGAAACATTCACATAAACACATACATACACAATAGGGACAACTCACCCTTCGTTTTCCGTTCTACCAAGACTTTGTTGGATAAGATTCACTGGATGGCATTGTGGCGAGGGATACTTTAAAAAGATAAAGTGTTACAGACATTGCATTGCATATATTAAATTATTATATGGCAAGCATTTGTTTTAGTGAATCGCACCATTTAATTGGCTGCTGACAAGCCAGCATTTTCTAGTATTGCCCAAGGGCAATACGGAATTTGCCCTACGAGGCTGCGACGAGAGTTGAGTTGCAAAAAATCTAAAAGACTTGCAAAACAATTAAAAAGGAAGAAAACTAAACCGAAAATATAGGACAGGATCATTGATATGATTTAGGATCAATTGATATGATTAAGTGCACAATGTCAGTGTCGTACAATAAAACTTACTAAAAACCGATCAAACCCCGCTATATCGCCCGGTTAAAAACACAGCAGATTTGATATTTTTCGGTTTGATATTTTTCCGTACACCGCTCACTCACGGTTAGTACGTTATTAGGCCTAATATAGTTACAGTATAATGTCTTGCCAATGCATTATTTCCATGCATGCATTGGTGTATTTAATTACCTTTAGACAATCTTTAAGCCTTGGAAAATGCCGACTAAATATCTTCACTGGATTAAGGTCATCCAGGCCACTGAAATTCCTTCTGATTGATTGTTCCAGTTCTATATCGCTGATTTGATCACCTGGTTCCGCCTGCACAGCAAAACCATACACCATTTTTACTAAACTGTAAGCATAAGTAAACAAGAGATTTAACATGTTATACATATCTTTCGTATTTGTTGCGGCGGTGACGGAAGAAGCGACAGTATGTTTTATTACTTTTCATGCTTAAACAACGCGAACATTCTTCCCAGAGCAAGCTAAAGCTAAATTAATGATCACAAAATTATTCTGTGCGTTGATATACTAATTCCAAATACACTTCTAACCTGTAAAAGTCTCGAAGTCCAAAGAATTCATCTTTCTGGGCATTTTTTAGTGTTTCTGAATTGCTTTGTCGTTTGTAAAGGTCAAAATATCCCTTGCATAACTTCCAAATAGTTCGTTCAAGATGACTCTGAATATCTTCATCACCGGAACAAATTCCGCTAAAAATGAAAAACGAATAACATTGCTATAAACAAACTAATAAACTGATTTAGTTTCTCCTTACAGTAGTTTTCCATCATTTATGTAAATATTACCCCAATATATGGGCCCAGTTGTGTCAGTTTGCCCTGTTCGGGCTAACACTAAATATTACAACACTCAACACCATTCTATACACGAGGAAGTCCGAAAACATTAACCACATGTAAGCCGTATATAATCAATACCTTGCAATAGTTCAACTGTTGAGCATTTTTAGTTGTTACGTTGCTAACCGGGCTGAAGTAATTCACTTACAGTGGTTAAGCGGGTCTTCTTGCTCCATGTAATGCTTGATGTAATCGGACACTTACTGCAGTGTTCATGCATTTTTAGACTTCAATTTTAAATATTAAATTAATAATCGCCTCAAACCTTGCACTATCACGCAGTTCGTTTTCACTTGGTACTCCTCTACTCAACATGATGCCTCTGTTCATTTTAGCGGGATCCAACGCCCAATTTGATAAACCAATAAAACCAACACGGTGATGATCGGACGTTTTTCCTGATTCTTCAGTAGTAGCTGTGCCATCTTCCAACAGGGGATGAAGTGTTTTTAAAGGCATGAGGGGAGAATCTTCAGCTAACCCAATCTCATCCAATACTACCACAGACACAAACTTTTTCAGGTCCTTGTCTTTTTGAAGTTTAGCACACTGACTGAAGGTTGACACGATGCCTTCGGGGGTAGATAATGGGCTACACTGGTACGATTGCATGTGGATCTATCAAACCAAATTAAAGCATAATCATACTTATTCCGAAAGTTATTCAATCAAGCCATATGAACAGCGATATAGAGTTTTACGTACTATTTACAACATGAGCGGCCGTGTTGTATCGGACATACAAACCCGCGCCTTCGCCTCACGTTTGTATATCCGATACAACACAGACGCAAATGTTGTAAATGGCTTGTGAAACATCTTGATGAGAACATTCGTATTCTACAGCAATTTAAAATAAATGAATAATATTTGGTGAGAAAAATGAACTTAAAATCGATGTAAATCAGCATGATTGCGTAGCCGATATACAAACTCTTTCACAGTCAAGATTTCTTTTGTGGTGTCCATCATGAAGTATTAATGATTTGTCACAATATATATTTAAATAGCGTAGATTGCAGTTTTTATCTACAGCACAAACAATCTGGAATTGATTTTCAAATGAATGCAAATTAACTATATTCTACTGTTAAACCTGCAAGAATTGTGGGAATATCTGGAGAAACTACACTTGTGAGGTCACTTGGAATACATGCTATTTATACTGTACTGTATTTATATTTAACAAATATAAAACATTTTCCGTGTTGATATACAGTTATATCAACACGAGTGGAAATTGGGAAAACGAGAAATTGTGTGGAAACACGACGCCCGAAGGGCGGAGTGTTTTCATACAATTTCGAGTTTTCCCAACTTCCACGAGTGTTGATATAACTATATATCAATACGGAAAAAATGTTTTATATTTGTTTTATAATATAGCAATGTCAAAAGCCCGAAGAATAAAAAAAAATTCCCTGTTTACAAGCGGCGGAAAATTTCCCGTGTTGACATGGAGTTATATCAACACGGCTCTTAGCCAATCAGCGTTCAGAATTTACAAATGCTATATTATAAATCAATATATAATATGTCGTTGTTCGTTTTTAAGAAACGACGCAATATATATCAATATAATATGTTGTTGCCTCGTTCTTAAGAAACGACGCAATATATCAATGTAATATTTGTTGTTGCTTGTCAAAAAATTCACGCCATATATCAATATAATACGTCGTTGCTTCGTTCTTAAGAAACGACGCAATGTATCAATATAATATGTCGTTGCCTCGTTCTTAAGAAAAGACGCAATATATCAATATAATATTTGTTGTTGCTTGCCAAAAATTCACGCAATATATCAATATAATATGTCGTTGCTTCGTTCTTAAGAAAGTCGCGCCTGTCATAGCCTGCGTATAGCAGCACAGTGGTGGCAGTCGCTGTCAAAAGTCAGTGCAAGTACTAAATAAATATTAACTTAAAGCCGCGCATGTTAATACATGCATGCAGTGTATACATATACAATAATCTCCTTCTGAAAGCCACACAAGTACCAAAGGAATATTAACTTATACACTATATCACAAATCACTAATTCTCACAAACATTGCAGTCGGTATTGTATGTTTTTTATAATGCGCCCCTTTACCGGTAACAGCTAGTCAGTTCAAAGACGGAAATGAGTGACACCGCATAACTATTAAAGTGATGTACCGATTGCGAACGTAATGCAAATGACCTGAAATAAAGACTCGTTCATTTTGCGTGTTTGCTTCATGAGCGAAATACTTCACATATAACCACAGTCTCACACAAGTCAAATAGTCGACTAATTAGCGTCTGATTGCCTCAAAAAAGCTTAACAGCCTTATTGTCATGCGCATTTTCGTTCACACGCAACCATTAACGTAAAAGTATCTCTGGTGAAAAATGTCGTAATAAAACCAACGATTCTTATACCGGTCCATATTATTAAAGATCCACTTCATCTGTTCAAGCCTTTTACGTGTCTTATCTCTTGCCCAAAACGTTGATGTAACAATCCATTCCACAATAGCATATGGGCGGCAACCGTTATTGTAAAGGAACAGTGTTAATATAAACGTATCTTCGTCACAAATCGGTTTTGACCAGAATATTTTTACAAAGTCCTTTTGCCAATCGCGCATCTTATAAAATAAGTCACCATCCAAAAGCTGGAACAATTCACACCTCCTAACCAAAACCTCTGCCTGTGGACGTGTGACCATTATTTCATATTTTGGAATGTCTTTAAAACATTCCATGCATGCCATGGAAATGTAGCTATACGTTTTAGCGTATGTGCATTATTAATTAACAATCATACCACAAAAATTAATTTGCTTCAATATTCACACCACATGTTACTTGTAGCGTATTAATTTTTATATCACCACAGGCGTCAAAACACTTGGTGACAACTTTTCAATGAAATATTATTAAAATGAATATATTAGTAATAAAACAAATTTTCACGGATCGACATTTCATATTCACGGATCGACATTTCATATTTTCCGATCGTGAATTCCCAGTCCATCCGTTACCAATGGTACGGATCGACAACATTTTGGAGGCCTCCCTTAGCCACTCGAACGCTTGAGCACTAGATTCACGGATCGACAATTCATATTTCCCGATCGTGAATTCCCAGTCCATCCGTTACCAATCGTACGGATCGACAACATTTTGGAGGTCTCCCTTAGCCACTTGAACGCTTGAGTACTAGATTCTCGGATCGACAATTCTTGTTTTCCGATCGTGAATTCCCAGTCAATCCGTTACCTATGGTGCGGATCGACAACATTTTGGAGGCCTTCCTTAGACACTCGAACGCTTGAGCACTAGATTCTCGGATCGACAATACTTGTTTTCCGATCGTGAATGCCCAGTCAATCCGTTACCTATGGTGCGGATCGACAACATTTTGGAGGCCTCCCTTAGACACTCGAACGCTTGAGCACCAGATTCACGGATCGACAATTCTTGTTTTCCGATCGTGAATCCAAGACCATCCGTTACCAATCGTACGGATCGACGTTCAGTCTTTACCAATCGTTATGACAAAACAAGTCTTCCATCCGTAGGCAAAATTTCACGAAACGAACGATCCGTATGCATGCGACAGTATTGGACAACCATCATTGGGCGGTGATCAGAGGGCTGTGATACAGTGGAATGTCATATCCGGTTTCTAGTACGCTCTCGATGCACGCGCCTGTTCCTCGAGCAAATTGATTGATTTTGTCCATAAATACACTATGTGCTTGTTTGTTTTAAATAATTTTCAATGAGGAAACATCGAAACAGTACCTATAGACAAAGGCAATGTTGACTGACAAATCTGGCAAACACTTATGTCAGGCAAAACACATTCAATGTGGAAAGAGTGAGCACAACTACGAAATACTTTCCACAAGGGGCTTTCTTTCTCGCACTCAGGTAAATCGCATTTTCTATGACGTAAATAAAGCTAATAATTAAAGTAAGTTACTTGCAACCTATTTTAATAGATAGACTGTCTGTCCGATTTGCTTTTTTTGTTTTTTAGATCTTTGTTTCAAGAATTTTAAAGATGCGGTAAAGTCCGTTCTGCGCATATATTTTGCGCATCAAAACATTCCATCAGTGGGGGAGCAACCTTTGGAATGTTGTTAATATTTCGCACCTTCCGAACTATCTTGAACTGAATCTCTAGTCTGTATTCATTTACAAGCATAACGAACCAGAAAAATGTTAAAAATTCAGTATAATATATATCTAATCATATTTTACAACTGTAGCACTGAGTTCAAAATGTAAACAAAGCGTTTGTTTACATTACGGACATTACATCACCTTTAAATGTTTGTTTGTAGGTCCCTTCTCCTTTATTTTGTATGGAATTAATGAAATTTTCTATAAATCCTTCAGTTTTTACATACGCTTTGCATGGTGTGTTCTAAAAATCTAAAATTGGAACAATATAATTAGAATAATTTGGGTACATTTTCAAACATTCTTTTATTTTGTAACAAGTAGATACTATATTTTTATGTTATTTCAGTTAATTTTTTCTTGAATGTGGAAAATGGTTAAATAAGAAGGATAAGTAATGTTAATTTTGTATGTTTGAGTTTAACTATTAAACCACAATAAGATGCACTGTTGTCAAACAACTTTACTCAACATCTAGGTGAAAGTCTTGTGGCTTAATGGGTTAACCATAGACGGATTTTATGGGGAGTGCAGGGTGCTACCCCCAATATTAGCTATAACCCCCCCTCCCCCCAAAAAACAAAATGTCCACCTCTCCAAAAAAATTTTCACCCCTCCCCCCAATATTCGGCATAATAAATAAATAATTAAATAGTCCACTCCAACGTGCAGAGTGTTGATGATACAAAATAAACGTAGGAGTACACTCAAACAGAAAAAGACAGTGCAACACTCTAAAACTAATCGCTCGTCGCTTGAATTCACTGGTTTATTGGAGCAATTGTATGACATAGTCTCTTAAGAGTTAAAATTGATATCGCCTCGCACCTCATATGATATAACCTATACTTAATCCTTTTTTGTGTTTACGCGTTGTTAAAGCTTCATTTCCAGACAAAACATTGATAATTGAGGCCCCAAATGTTTTCAGAATTCCTTCCACTAGCGTTTTGTCAATTCCGAGTGCCAAGGACACATTTGCTTTTTCAGGTAAACTACATTATCTCCTGCGCAGGCGTATCAGTACGTACAATGTTCAGTCATTTTTACTGCAGCAAATTGTGCTCATAATTAATACTTTTCATTGCAGGAAATTACTGCATAAAAATGATGAGCATAAGCATTAATTAAAAACATGTTTGCCGTTTTCTTCATTAATTTTTAGTATACATCATCATGTACATTCTATGAATGTTCTGATCGTGAAAAAGCCTTCTGTTAATTTCGTACTCTCGCCACGAAGTGCTACTTTACTTGAACTTTCCAAAGGACGTAGGCTTCACTTGTGTTTTATACTTATATATTAGCGATGCTTCAATACACGACACAAAGACGAAGAAGTCAACTATAACAAAAAATACATTTACAATGGACCTATTCCCCAATGAACAAAATTTTGATCTAGATAAGTCTAGACATAAATTTCATCACAGCTTGAAAGAGCATCACAAAATGA